TCCAAAAAAGGAAATGATCTACATACTTTTTTGGGCTCATTCTACGCAAACTCTCTATTGTTAACTTTTCATGTATTGTTCGGGGGTCCTTATACAGTACATACAGTATATATATATCAGAATGTTATTTCCAGCAGATTTTTATTCAATTATTAAGACTTTCATTTATACGATGATTAAGAATTTTTTAATAATTGTGACCTATAGTATTGCGGAAAGATATAATTATCACAAAACCACCTACCGTTTTGACTTTTGTTTCTTTTAAATTGTAAATATGAAAATTAGATTTATTAAGAAATATGAAATATTAATAAAATTTATTTATATAATACTTATATTATCTATCGATAATAAATATATACATTCTTACGCTTTTAGAATATAATTAAGAAATTATCATGTTAAGCTCTACTCATTTAAAAATTAATAATAATTGAAGTATTTGATACAAAATACGTAAGTTTAAATTAAATTCGTGTAAAGAGACAATCGTAATAAAGCTAGATAAGCTATTTTCATAACTAATTCTTCTATTCCTTTCCCATTATTAAAAAAAAAATAAAAACTCCTGAATTTTCCTAAAAACTATAAATGGCTCAACAAAAAATTTTTCAACTATTTTGTACGCTATCTTCTTTAAGTACCTCACTTAAAACTCAATCCAAGTGCGAAAATAAGACACTCCATAACTTAAAGTATATACGTATGATTAAAGTTTCAGCTTTAAATAGAATTATACTGCCTTCACCGGTGAAGTTAATTATTAAGACGTTCCCCTAGCGCAAATATTTTCACTTCAGAGTTTAAGAGTTTCTCTTCTTTTTATTTTTTCTGCTACGCCATAATATCCAGTTACTATATATTATCAGTTATAGACTTATAGTCTTTTTTTTTTATTTATTATTAGTGCTCCTACTGGGTCAAGTCAAGTCGGGTTTTGAGGAAATATTCGACCTGATCTGAATAAAAAAATATAAGACTCGTATTTATTCAGGTCTCATATTTTTGTAACCCGACCCTTGACTCGACCGAGTATAATTTAACTCATGTAACCCGGGTTAGACCCGAACATTTAAGTAAAATGGGTACTAACAGGACCCTGAGCAATACTGAAATAGGTAACAAAAAATAACGCGTAGAATAGGCTAAAATAATCATGAAAATCTTTCCTTTTTTAGATAAATTTTGATAACGTTGGTAAGAAATATATTACTTTATTTAGTAACTGACTGACATTATCATAATTCCGGCCCTGAAAAAATGCGTAGAGCTAATAGTAAAATTTTGCCAATTTCCTATGACCTATTTATATATTGTTCGGGATCCTGTACTAACTTATATTATGTGAGATTTTCTTATAATAATAACAAAATTAATTTTTTTTATTTGAAAAAAAGGCAACTTAGTGATTAACAACTAGTAGCCACCTGAAATTTGTATCATGAATGGTTATACAAAACATGTAACACTAGCTCTTATTTTCTCCTAGACTAATTAAATAAAATAAAATTAAAAATACGAATTTTGAACCTGGTTTAATATAATAAAAGTCAAAGAATTAGGCAAAATAATTAGCAGATATTCAAATCAAAGATAAATTGGAATTCTAAAGCTATCAGAAAAATATTATTCTCAAAAGTCAAAGGTTAATTTTTTTATTTTTCTGATTAAGCTATGTTAATATTTGTTAAAATTAATTCTTGGCTTAATTTTGGCCAAAATTATAATTTTCCTAGAATTAAAAACATCCGGGTCAATCTGGGTCAAACCCGGGTCAAGGAAATTTATAACCTGACCCGGTGGGTCGGGTCATGCAGGTCATGCGGGTCACAGGTCATTAAAAATCGTTAGTACCAACCTGATTTAAAAGTTGAGTCAGGTCAAATTAACCCGGGTTGACTCGTATCATTCAGAGCACTATTTATTATTTTTTACCTTCTTAATAAACACTTTTATTATATTCGACTATGTCTTTATCAAAACCTACACCTAACCAACAAAAAAAGCTCGGGCACGTGATATAAAGTGTGGTGTCTAAATTTTGATTGGTTGATCTTGTTTAACATTTAACTTTGAAAAAAGTAAAAAACATTCGCGAAAAAATTCAAAGGCTTTTGATATTTAAGTATCTTTATAGTAAAAAGAGTAAAAAGTCAATAGAAAATAAATTTTTTAAGTTTTAAATAGTTTTATTATATTTTTATTTTTATTGAATAATACTGTAAACAATACAGAAAAATTTTTATGTATTATGAGATAAAAAATTTTTTTTCTTTGTTTTTAAAATTCTCTGTATAACTGATAAAGTAACATATACCTAACTAAAAATATATCAAGTTTGTGATATTTATATAAAAAACGTAAAAATATATAAAATTAATATATATAAATTACTTTAATACTTGCTAAGACAAACTTTAAAAATTTCAAAGAAACGTAAAATTAATATTATTGTTTATAATATATGTGATAAAAATAATAAAAAGAAATAAATAAAAAGGAAAGACAGTATTTATATATTAAATATAGGTTTCCAAGGTTTCCAAAAAATAAAATGTATAAAGAAATAGGTGAACAGCAAGTTAATATTCTGAGCTTTTATTTGTTGGTTATGCTAGGGAAGATTTAATCGAGCTGGTTACGAGATAAGAAGATCAAAAACTAAGCACCATCTTAAAATACACACAAATAAATACTACCCCTATTCGGTACAATTCAACGAGTAGATTTCCCAATGCTAAATTTCAACTTTATAGCAACTTAGCACAATGCTTACGCATTTTTTTTCTCACCAAAAAGTTCTCCAATGACGTATTCAACAAAAATATTTCCAACTAATTTGTTCCAAATTGTTGGAAAATATTAATATCATCAAATCATGTGGCGATCAACATCAACGCCGGAATCTACAAAAATCTTTTTACATTTTTCTTACAAATGTTATCATTTTTATTTCACTCCAGAAATCATCATTTAGACCCAGTACATTATTATACATGTACCGTTCCTGGCCCTTTCATTATGTCTAACCATTGACGTACCTGCGTAATACATCAAAAATACCTTGAAAAATACAATTTTATTAAAAAACTTCGCGTGAATACTACTATCCTCACTTCTCACAAAACACCACGCAAACCTCCTATTTAATACATGGCGTGAACGCCATGAGAAACGTAATTTTTCTCATTGCCTGGGTATTTCTTACACTGTCAATATTAGGGATGGCAATGGTTACGGTTATAACCGGTCATGACCAGTTAATAACCGTGACCGATATCGGTCAGTCAAAGGCTCTGACTGACCGTTTAACTGACCAGTTTTGACCGACCGTTTGACCGACCGTGACCGACCGTTGCCATCCCTAGTCAATATCAAGCGAATGGGCACAAAAACGTGCTTGTCAAAGGCAATTGATATATGTACCAAAAACATTTTGAAAATTTAAGACATGTACCTTCAAAGAATCCTTACATAAACAACAAATTTGATTCCAGCGTTTGTGTAGAAGTATCTTTTATCGTAACAAGAAACAAATTGCCTGCACATTGAAAACTTTACAAAGCGAGACAACATCATTTCCTTTTCCTAGAATCACAATTTATCAAAATGTTACCAAAATTTTTGCTTAGATAGAATTATTTAAAATTATTGTTAGGGTTACCCATAGAAATCGAACAAGTCACATGATGCAGTGCGCAGAAATCCTATGATTAAGTTTATTACAATATAAAACATTTCTTATAATATATTTTAGTTTTATTAATTACTTACATTAATTAACCACTTTTAGTATTGTTATTGCTTTTGACTCATAAATATTCAACTATAAGTATCAGTTTAATTATTATAACATTAGTAAAATTGCTTTATTAGTTAGCTAGAGAAGTTTCTTGAGATTTACATAGTTGATGAATCATATAGACATATATATGGAACTTATACAAAATGGTAATAGAAAGGTTTTTACAGATAATTGCAATGAGAAAAGAACAATTGATTGATTAATCATATTATTATAATAGGATCATATATAGGGCAATATTTTCTTTTGAATAAAAGTTGTTAATACCTGAGTAGATCTAACAGAGAGTTTAGATTGTGTTATCCAAATTCCAAAGTATTATTTTTTTTTGTATGATTTGATAGTTTTTTTTTACAGTATTAAACTTTTCGTGCACTTTACTTGTTTCACCTTTGTGTTTTGTTGTTATTTGTTTGATAGAATTTTTTTATCCTTAAGAAACTCTTACATTATTTTACCAGAATTACACTTTTATTGCTAATTTTCTATTAGAAATTATTAGTGATACACTTATATTTTGTTACAATATTATTGAAACACCTATAATCTTGACTGTTTGACTTTTTGCCACAAGCTCACAACTAATCAGCTTGACATCTCCAATGTTAGTTATCACTCCAAACCAAATTAGATATAACATTTGATGCCCCATATAAGGCAAGACCCTTCTATAATTTGTTAAATTTTGGGAAATCTTTATCAATAATTATGCAGACTTTGAAGGGAAGATCAGAAATACCGCAGCAGTCATCCTGATCATTTGTTGAACTTTGAGAAGAGAATACAGAGAGCCAGAGACCTTAGTAATTCCTGAATCCGAAGGAGAAAATGGTGATCTATCCTCTGAAGAAGAAGAAAGATTGAACCTTCTAAACTTGGACAGATTAAACAACTTTCCAACAGAGCAATCAAGAACTAAATCAACCTGTTTTACCACAGGATCAACAAATTTTTGACCTACAAATACCTCAAGATATACCACTTTTACGAGCTATATCAGCTTCATCTAACCCAATGGAAGGAGAACAAAGAATCTGACAAGAACAAGACATACCATTATTTCAGGATCAACAAGTTCCACAGAATCAGAATAATTGATTGTTTCAGCAACAAGTTCAAAACTTATTCTCACAAGATAATAACAACAATCAGAATAACAATGTTAATAATGGTAACCTTTTGGATGGGAACAATGTGCTGCAGATGGCCTAGTCATCCAACAATTTCTAAATCAACAGAACCAGCAGAATCAGCAGAGTTGGGAAGTGTTCTTACCAACTTTTAGTGGGGAAAATTAGCAAGATCCTATTGCCTGGCTTAGAGATTAAAATGCTGCCGCTAAAGCCAATGGTTGGAATGATTGGAAATTGCAAGTAGTACCAGTTTATTTGAGGTTTACTGCAGCTGATTGGTATAATCATTAAAGCAAGATAACCCAGGATTTGTTACTACTTGGGTTTCAGATTTTAATGGAAATGTTAACAATTTGAAGATAGATTTTTGAGAAGATTTTGAACAACAGTGATGATTGAAGCATGGACTATTGAATTAGAGTAAAGAGTATAAGGACCTGATGAAACAGTTGAGCATTATGTTTCTGTTCTGCAAAAGTTATTTACTAGAGTAGGAGGATATAATGAAGCTCAGAAAACTTGGAAGTTTATCTCAGAACTTACTTGAGATTTGTACATAATGATGCAATCAACATATGATGGAACATTCCAAAATGCAATATATAGAGCAAAGAGATGTGAAATGACTCTTATGGCTGGGAAAAATAAAATATAAGCAACTATGGCAGTAGTGCTCAATTGAAAACTACTCAATTGACACAAATGATGATGGAACTTTCAAAGTCCATCTTAGAATCAAGAATGAAATTAATTGCTAATTCGGTTAAGATCGGCAGTGTCTTACTATGTAAAATCGGGGCAAAAAAAGAAAATAATTATCTCTTGATCCAATGATCCAATTTCAATGAACTTTTTTTTGTTTTATAGATCTTGATTTCCTCAATAAAATAAAAAATTTATTGAAATTGAAATACTAAATTATAAGAAAATCGTGAAAAAGTATTTCATATTATTATTATGACTAAATTTTAGTAAATCATAAAAAAAGAATTGATTCCTAATTCAGTGATCCAATTTCAATAATTTTTTTTTGTCTTTTAGGTCTTAACCTCCTCTTCACAATAAAAAAAAGTTTGTCAATATTGGACTGCTAGATCGGAAGATAATCACAAAGATATATTTTGCCATATCATGAATCTAAAAATCGTCTGGCAAAATATGTTTTCGCAATTATCTCACGATCTAGAGGCCCAATTTTGACAAAATTTTTTTATTATGTAGAGATTATTGAGATCTAAATAACAAAAAAAAGTTTATCGAAATTGGATCACTAAATCAGGAGATAATTGTCTGCTTTGTTATTAATGGAATCTGATTGTTGTCAGTAAAATATGTTTTTGTGATTATCTCACAACCTAATGGTCCAATTTCAATGAAATTATTTTTATTTTATAAAGGTAATCCAGACTTACAGAACAAAAAAAAGTTCATCAAAATTGGATTATTAGATCATATGATAATTATTTTTATTATTTGCACCAATTTCCCCAATTTTACATAGTAGGACACTGCTGATCTTAACCGAATTAGCAATTAAAGAAAAAGTAGGAAATAGATTTCATTATAATGGCAGTAATAATGACTCTTAATGGAATAAAAATAATAATAACAGTAATAGTAATAGAAGTAGCAATAATAATAATAATTCTACAGGAGGAAATAGATTGCCCATTGTTTGCTATACATGTGGAAAACCAGGACATATTAGTAGAACTTGTCCAAGAAATAATAATAAAAGTGGTGTGTACTAAACCAACAATCTCAGCAACCTCAACCTGCTCAATTTAATCAACCTGTGAATACAAATGGTGTAAATAATTTGAATACCAACAACTAACAATGATTTAATAGCAATTTTAGTGCAGCATTGTTAGTCCAAAAAGATGCCAATGGCACTACTAATGGATCTTTAAACTATTAAACTAGTAGGTGCATCCTCTGAGGGTAAGGATATGGAACCTAATGGAAACCCCTCAAGTGATATATATGTAGACTTTGAAGTAAACAAGAATGGGATGATAGTAAAATTAGAGGGAATGAAGCATATTCAGCTGAAAAATCAAACAAGGTGCTTAAAAGTACATGAAAAAAGACTGAATCATATAACATTCAGAAAGAAGATAAAAATGGTAATATATCACCACCACCACCTCCCAAATGGATGTACCTAATGTTTAGAGCATTCCTGGACCTGTAATGATAGAGAATGATCAGCAACTGCAACAATCAGTGGAGGATATTAATAAGGCAAAAATCAATCTTACTCAATGGTCAAAGATATTAAACATCCACAGGCATGAATCATCTTTGGACAACTAATAAAAATAGCTCCTAAATATAAAATTGAGCTTGCAAGAGGAATTAGGAAACTAACTACATGAAAGATTCACTTTAGTAATATGGAACTGAAAGGGAACCAGAGCTCTACTGCAATGTGTTGTGATGCCATTGTAAGAGGAGTTAAGGTACCTTCTTATCATTGATAGTGGAGCCACTGGAAGTATTGTTGCCTACCATTTCTTATCAAAATTGGAAGTGTATATTGATTGACCATCTATTGCATCTATGGTTAATGTTAATGTAAAAGAAAGATACCTATGGGAGAAGTCTTGAACTTTCCAATTATTACAGTACAAGGGATTGAAGTTCCAATTAATATGGTAGTAACTGAATCTGAAACATATAGTGTTATTATTGGAAATAATTTGTTAAGAAAAGTGAAAGCCAATATAGATTATGAAACTTCAATCATGATTATAAGTTGGAAAGGAAAAGAGGCTAGAGTTCTTGTTGAATATCAATTAGTATCAGATGCAAAAAAAGTAGAAGAAATTGAAGAAGGTTCAGAAAAAGAAGAAGAGGAAGAAATAGAAAATGAAGATGAAGATGAAGAATATAAAGAGGTAAAACTCAAAAATAGGTTATTTTATACTGCATTATTTGACCCAAGTCCAATATTAACTAATAAAGGTGTTTATATAATTGAACAAAAATACTATCAGCAGAATCATTTTACTGAGTTAAACAAAAGATTTAAGCAAAGTGTTTGACATGTTGGAATGATCTAATTAAACATGAAGCAATACAATAGATATCACCAGAAATTATCATTGAACTAAGTTCCAATAAAAGGCAAAGCACTCCAACAAAAGAACAACAGGAGTTTTTTTTAACAAGCCAGCTATATGATTCAGATACTATAAGAAATATTGTAAATGAAAGTAATAGACAATTATGTTATTATTGTCAAAAGAAATCATACTAGGAATATGAAGAGCTTACTCAAGAAATTAAATATAATCATGCTGATATAAAAGACCTTTCTAAGATTACACTAATGGAACTATCAATTGGAAAATTGTTAGATAATCAAAGTATAAGCCTAATGGAGTTCTTATTGCAGTGATAAAATGACTTTGCTTGGAAATCTTCTCAATTAGGATGAACAAACTTAATTCAACACACTATTAATACTGAAAAAGGAAAGGTTATTTGTAAGTATTGGTATTGTACATCCCAGCTTGAAAGGAAGTTCATTGAACAAAAAATTGCTTAATTGTTAAGAGAAGGACTTATTGAATGTTCTACAGAACCTTGGGCATCTCCAGTTGTATTAGTTCAAAAGAAAAATGGAAAGCAGCAATTACGCATTGACTAAATAGTATTACCTAAAAAGATTCTTATTCTCTACCCAGAATAGATGATATGTTAGATTCTTTTGGATAAGCTAAATGGTTCACTTCTTTAGACTTGACTAGAGGCTATTAGCAAGTGGAAGTAGATCTAAAGGACTGACCTAAAACTGCCTTCATTACACAATTTTGGATATACCAGTTTAAGGTAATGCCATTTGGTCACTGATGCTCCAGCAACTTTTCAAAGGCTAATGGAATGGTCTACCTTGATAATGTTATTGTATACTCTAGAACCTTTGAAGAACATCTAAAACATCTTGGTATTGTATTTGATTGTTTACAAGCAGCAGGATTGAAACTGAATCCTGGAAAATGTTCTTTTGTGAAGGCTGAATTGGAATTTTTAGGACATATCATAAGTACTCAAAGTATACAAACTAATCCAGAAAAAACTGAAAAGGTGAAGAACTTTCCTAAACTAAAAATACAATACAACTAACTGCAAGGATTTTTAGGCTTAACATAGGGATTGGAATCGATTAATCAAAAATTGACAAAACATAGTAAAATTGATTCTCGAGAATCGATTCTCAGCAATTTTTTACATATAAGTTAACCTGACTCCAAAGTAATTTTTCATGCCGGCCAAGTGTTACTGAAATTAAAAACTGATTCAAAGTCAGGTTGGTCATCTATAAGAAAATCTTGTAAAGATTCGATTTTCGATTCCAATCCCTAGCTTAGCATTATACTATCAATACTTTGTTCCAAACTTTGCAAGGATTGCAATACCATAAACAAACTGTTAAAAAAGGGAATCAATGGACTGCAGAACAAAATAAAGCTTTTAATACTTTAAAAAAATGCTTAGTTACATCACCAATCTTTATATTTTCAAACTTTGATAAACAGTTTATTTTATTTACAGATGCATCAATATCCGGACTGGGAGCAATACTATTACAATTGGATAAAAGAAATCAAGAACATGTTATTGCTTATACCAGTTGGACTCTTAGCAAGGCAGAGAAAAATTATACTACAACAGAATTGAAATGCTTAGCTGTTATATGGGCTATTAAACACTTTTATACTTATGTTTATAAACAAAGATTCAAACTTATAACTGACCATTCAGCACTCAAACATTTATTCAATATCACAATACCTGTTAGATCTAATGTTGACAGCTAATTATGAATTCAATACTAGACTAATTTTCCATTCAAAAAAAAAAAAAAAATGCCATTTTCTTTATTGTTTTTCAGTTGACTCATTATTACTATTGGAAAAATTTTTATATATACCAATTTGGATTATTCATTTTTATATTTGTTTCTTTTATTTTCATTTAATATTTTTTTTTTATCAATTGATAAGTTAACTTGAACATTTTTTATATTTGTTTTAAATTCATTTTATTATATTTGTTTAACATCTCTTGTTGTCATATATTCAATTATTTTTTTTTTTCCTGTTTCATTATTTTTATATTTGTTTTGCATTTTATTTTATTGACTATAATCTTTATAGCCAGTTGCCAAGTCAACTTGGATTAATTAATTTAGCTTTTTTTATCATTTACTGTATACTCTACTAGAAAAATGGATACAACTGAATATTTGAATATACTTCAGTATCTAGAGACCTTACAATTGCATAACTCATTGCAGAAAATCAGAAACAAGTTTTTAAACAAAAGGCTAATGAATATATTGCAAGTGAAGGATTGTTATATCAAAAGAATAAGAAAAGGCCTAACCAACTCTTGTGAGTGATTAAGTAAGATAAAAAGGAAAAGATTCTGTACAATTTCATGAAGACCCTTTGGCTGGACACTTTGGATTTCAAGGAACCTATTGATCAATCTTTCTCAAGTACTATTGGCCCAATATGGGGAATGACATTAAAGAATATATTAACTCTTGTGATATATGCCAAAAATGGAAGAAATCTCAAAGAAATAAATCTTTACATCCTATATATCTTTTGATCATATTGGAATGGATATTGTAGGACTACTACCAACTACTTTACAAGGGAACAAGTATATTGTTGTTGCAACTGAATATCTAACTAAATGGCCTGAAGCATGTGCTCTCTCAAATGCTAAAGCAACATCAGTGGTTTCTTACTTTTATGAGAATATAATCTGCCATCATGGGTGTTCAAGGGTTCTTTTGACTGATCAAAACATTTTAATAGGGTTTTATGTGAAACTTTAGCAAAATATTCAATGCACAACCAGATTTGTATTTACCATCTGTTTTATCTGTGTACAGAACAATTTAGCAACAAACAACTCAATTTGAACCTTTTTATCAAATATATGGACAAGATGCACTTTTACCAATTGAGATAGAGATACCAAACTTGCCTAATAATAATAACCTGAATAATGATTTTCAAGCCCAATTGTTGTAAAAAATCCAATTATTTACTGGAAATTGAATGATGATAGACAGATAGCTCAAGACAATATTATTAAGAGTCAAGAGAAGCAAAAACTTTGATATGATGCTAATATTCGTGCACCTTTTTGGGCCAACAATTGCTGTACTAAATTGAGCAGGTTGAGGTTGCTGAGATTGTTGATTCAGTACTGTTGCAGCTACACCACTTTTATTATTATTTCTTTGTGGACAAGTTCTACTAATATGTCCTGGTTTTCCACATGCATAGCAAACAATAGGCAATCTATTTCCTCCTGTAGGATTATAACTATTATTGCTACTTCCATTACTATCACTGTTGTTATTATTTCTATTCCATTGAGAGTTATTATTACTGCCATTATAATGAGATCGATTTCCTACTTTTTCTTTAATTTCATTCTTGAGTTCTGAGACAGACTTTGAAAGTTCCATCATCATTTGTGTCAATTGAGTGGTTCCAATTGAGCACTACTGCCATAGTTGCTTATGCTTTTGTTTTTCCCAGCCATAAGAGTCATTTCACATCTCTTTACTCTATCTATTGCATTTTGGAATGTTCCATCATGTGTTGATTGCGCCATTATGTACAAATCTCAAATAAGTCCTGAGATAAACTTCTGAGTTTTCTGGGCTTCATTATATCCTCCTACTCTAGTAAATAACTTTTGCAGAACAGAAACATAATGCTCAACTGTTTCATCAGGTCCTTATATTCTTTGCTCTAATTCAATAGTCCATGCTTCAATCATTGCTGCTGTTCAAAATCTTCTCAAAAATCTATCTTCAAAATTGTTAACATTTCCATTAAAACCTGCAATCCAAGTAGTAACAAATCCTGGGTTATCTTACTTTAACGATTGATACCATTCAGCTGCAGCAGACCATAAATAAGCTGGTACTATTTGCAATTTCCAAACATCATTCCAACCATTGGCTTCAGCGGCAGCATTATAATCTCTAAGCCAGACAATAGGATCTTGCTGATCTTCCCCACTAAAAGTTGGTAAGAACGCTCCCCAACTCTGCTGATTCTGCTGGTTCTGTTGATTTAGAAATTGTTGGATGAAATGGACCATCTGCAGCATATTGTTCTCATCCAAAAGGTAACAAACCTATTAAGCACCTTAAATACAAAAATAAATATACATTTCCTAATGCATAAGATTATAAATATCTTGTGCTAGTATTCGCTCAAGGCAGAATTATTGCTTCCGCAGATACACCAAATACATCAACAACAATGAACATCCCTTTAGTGGATGCTCCTATACCTCCTGATACAGTTATTACTGTTGAGAATTTTAACCTTTTACCACCTCCAAGTGTTTCTGTACCTGAACATTTACAACAATTTATACCTACTGTGCCAATTTATACTGGACACTATCAAATTTACAGTCCTTCAGGATCTCTGGAATGGTTCCAACACCTTCATTTGCTTTTGCTCACGTCCATGATGCTCAATTTCATAGCACGAGTATGCATAAACTTCCAACTCGACATAAAGATGTTGAAATCTTATATCCTTCGTATGGATAACTTGAGATCTGAATTTGAAGAGCTTGGCTTTGAATTCTACAAATCCCTTCGTACACTAAACGATCTGCCTACATTGGACAATACTAAAAAACTTGGACAGTGACTGTTAAAACGGGATTCCTTTATTATCACCACCTCCGTTGGGAAAAGTTCTATACATCAGATGAAATGTCCATGCCCTTCTGCTGGTTCCCCTAAAGACTCCCCAGTAGTCGGCATAATTGATACTATGTATTAGTTTTTTTTTTTACTTTTATTTTATATATAGTAATGAGTCTAATATTTTTATAACAGGTAGCATTTTAATATTAGTCTATATTATATATTCCATTCACTTTTATACAAAATAATTTTGAATAGTGTGAACCACTCCACCTATGACAGTATTTACAGGTGGCGACCTTGAATGTTGAAAGAAAAATATGGATCATTATAATTTTTTTTATTTGATTGTCTTCTCGGTACGCTTCTCCCTATTTTTACTTTAGCTTCTAATTCCTTTATTCGTTCACTGCTATGGCGACTATATCTCCATTAGTCAGTTCGTTCTAACGAAGGGTGGGTCCACCTGTTGGATTTGTACGTCTAGTTTATTAGCTGTGTACTTATATTATGTCTTGTAGTTATAATGAGTCTGTAACTAAACGATGTATTTATCTTTTCTAAGTAAAAATAAATAAAAAAATAAATAGATTCCTTTCCCATTATAATTATTTGTTGAGAATTTGCAAATATCTGATTTGATCGATCCTATAACCATTCACCACTGTAAATGGTGATAAATAAATTTTAATTAGCTTCATTTGACGTAAGACATACAGTATATTACCAATAATATAATTTTTCATAAACAAGTTCAATGAGAACTATAGATCTATCTTATTAGCCGTTGTGATTGAAAATGAGTGAACATAATTACTGTAAATAATAAAAATATTAAGCAAAGTTTCATGGAATGTTAATCATAACGTATCAGTGTTCTTGTTACCTTTTTTTTTCTACTTTATTTATCTTTCCTAAATTCCTCATGCAAAAAATTTGAATTTTTTCTATGCTTCTATCGAAATAAATGATTTCTTACAGGTTTTGATAGTTCGGTAATTGAGTTGTATAGAATAGGAGAGGGATATTTGGCATTGTTTTACAGAAATAATAGAAAAGTGAAGTTGCTAAAAGGAACTCGAGATATCAGTTACACACAACTAGAGAAACTTTCTCTTCTCTTTAAAGTTTAAATGTCCATTACTCCAGGTTGAAATTCATTGAAACATAATTTGAAACTATATTCAATAAATATTCAAAATTCGGATATAAATAATTTACGCTATGTCAATCTTTGAATTGCGTTACTCAAGTTGGTTACATTATATTACCTTACATGTCTTAACATGTGATTTCTTTCTGAACTTATTTCTTATTAATCAACCTACATCTTTATAGCATTTCTGAAACAAATTCCACCTATATCTCTGCCACGTGAGCATCTACTCCTAAATGGATAACAACGTTATCCCTACTCCCGAATCAAGCTCGCGTTCAAGTATCCAATAATTTTTTTGGCAATGAATAATAACACAGTTTTATAACAATGGATTATTTTACGCCTGACAGTATTTACACATAACACGAATACATGAAAAACCAATATGGCCTGGATTTCTTAGATTAAAAATTTTTTTCCTTTATTTTTTTTTTCTTCCCCACTCCCCAGTTTGTGATGGTGCAATATTGTAGCAATACGGCTACTGTTAGTTAGTATGCATTTATTGAAGGGTGGGTCCTATTTGAGATTTGCATTACTAGTCAAATTATATCGTAATTTGGAAGTTTGCCTGCCTTTCTAAAGTAAAAATAGAAATAAAAATTTAGAGTAAGTGAATAAAATAACTAATTATCAGAAAACTTTGAACAATGAACTTCATAATTTTACTTAATGTTTATGAAATTATTTTGATTTTAAACACAGTATATATGAAACTTATAGACTAAACACTTTTGTAACATTATTACACCTTTTTTTTTATTGAAAAAAAAAGACCAATTTTTTTTTAAAAAAAATATAAGCAAATTGAAGTTTTATATTTATTACAAATTGTGTTACGTTCCATTTAGTTTGTACAAAGGTGGCGGAGAAATCCTGTCTTTTTGAACACTGAGACCAGAGTCACCAGACATTTATTATCATGATATATTTTACAAAATTTATGAAGAATAATAATGATCTTACTTTAGATAACTGACAAAAATTATTAATAATAGAAATTAAACAATGGCCACCACTTCCAGTTTATTTATATGACCTGTATAAATAATATTTATTTTTAAGTGTTATAATGTTAACACTATTCTTAGTTACAAAATTAGATGATGAATAACAAGCAATTGTTAATAAAGCTATATTATCACATTTCTTCAAATAATTTCGGTAAAAGAGAAGCATCAGGTCTTTTTAAGGGATCATGACTCCAACATTGTTTCATAATGATAGTATAAAATTCTGGTGTTCCTTTTCAACAATTTCAGGCCTCAATGGTCAAGAACTACAAGCGCAAGACCTACGTCATGATGATTAGTTGAAAATGGAGGTTCATCTGAAGTTAATTCTAAACTATACACCTCTGATTGTGTTGTATATGGTTTACATCGTAAAATTTCAGGAGCAAATATAAGGCAAAACTCCTTGAATGCTACTAGAAACTTTCAGTAACAAAATAACAAAATATAATTTATTAATCATATTTATGAATTTATGAGACAAAAAAAAAGAAAAGATATCGTTTTTCTCTAATTTTTGCTTATTTTAGAGTCAATTGGTTAACAAAGTCCAAAATCACTTATAAAAATTCATCTACTAAAATATTTTTATAATTAAAATCCTTATTGGTAAATTCATTTGGTGAATAAAGCTTTTGAAAGAATGAAAGTTTGATAAGAATCTTTTACTCTATCAGTCCAAGTTAATTTTGAAAAAAAACATACGAATATAATTTCGTAGATTTCCATGTTTTGCATGTCTTATTACCATGGCGTAGGCGCTTTTGTTATTTCATGGTATAATTCTTGGATTACGGCATTTATGATGAATTTTAAGCTAAACAAATCACGATAATTAATTTCAGAGAAATATATATATATTTTATTGATATTATTTTTCCCTACCTCGTTTAGGATTTGATAATTAATGTTATCAGAATCATTAATGGCTTTTAGAGTAACTTTGGAAAATAATTAGTTTGAAGTCTATTGAAACCAAAGGAATGTTTAACAGTAGATTCCAAGTTCCAAAATAAACTTTTGAATTTCCTCCATTTGTCAAATATTTTACATTATCTAAATTTGAACATGGAATCCATTTAATAAAATCATCACAATATTTTGAATTTAATATGAGTTTCATTAATAAATTTATCCAATTTAAAATTTCCACTTGTTTTGCTATCATTAATAATATTTATCTCATAGTTGTATAGTTGTACGCTACGAATTTCACTGTATTTATTTATTCGTGTAGTAAGGAATTGTTTTCTACAAAAGTTTATTTTTATTATTTTATGATTGCGTTGTATACAAATGATAACTTCTAACATTCGTGATGGTTATTTTTAAAATTTATGCAAGAAAATATTAAGAATATACTTTTATGTTTAGTTACCGTCATAACGGACACGTCACCATATAAATAGTTCATTCATAAAACGTTGGCAAATACTGTTTAAATAAAGGGAAGATCTACATAGAAGAATGAAATCAGGGGACGTTTCCTCACCGGTTAATTCTTAGGACAAATTAGGAAATTCATGAAAGAAGTAGTTTATGAAACAAATATGTAATCTCCAATCAAGTAATTTATACATGCATTGGTGTTATAAATAAATCGTTTAATTAAAAAAGTTCATTCATTTTCTGTTGATAGAAATTATAATATTATCAAAAATAAAAAAGTGCTATTAATAAAGTATATTTTATTTATTTATAATGATAATATTTGTGTTTAAAATATTTAAAGTAATGCATGGAATTGAATATAGAATTTTCGATATTTTCAAAAAAGAAAATTCACTGATAAACCAAAAATATATTATGGCATATAATACAACGTATACTTCTCGATTTGGTTAAAATAAATCACTTATGATAAATACAATCGGTATAATGCTTACATAAAATTATGATACAAATTAAACTGTTATATATAAAGAATTAAATTATGAATTATTTTTCGAGTGAATTATTATCTTCTTTAGTAGAAACTAACGTTGATGAAAAAAGACATTATTAGTTTTTTTTTTTTATCCGAATAAATATAAAATTTTAAAAGTAAAAAATTATGTTTATTATAAATTCACCTTCTTTCTTTATATCATCTTTTTTATCGTTATCATTTGATTTTGATACGCTATTATCTTTGAGATGCCAATATATAAAATAATTAGACAAAATAATATTAAAGTTATACAAAAATGTTACATATAAATTAGAATACCTTGATGACGCCCAATAGATTTTTTGTTTTTCTGATATTTAATAAGTAGAATGACATATGACTGTGATCTACCCACATTTCGTTTCGAAGCCAACGAATGTTTCTTACAATTTAATGAGCGTGTACAAGGCGTATTATCAGGTGGCGCAATTACTCCGCATTGGATGTCCAAATCAATCACTCCTAATTTATAAATTAAATATTTTTTTTTTTTAAAAAAAAACAACTAAAAAATTGTTGTTAAAAAATAGGAATTTGGAAATTTCTCGCAACCTTTATTACGCCTTATGATTTTTTTCTTTTTCCAGCTCTTTTTAATCTTTTGTTTTTTCCTAGGAAATTCTTCAGCTGATATTAGAGAATTAGGTCTTTTTTCTAAAATTTTAATTTTAAAAAAATAAAATTTATTATCGTTTCAAGATTTAATGATTTAAATTTGAAGGATTATAAAAAATAAACTTACGAGTTTTTTTCCTCTCGTCTTTGATCATAAAGAGAATCATTTAATTATAAAAAAAAATTAATAAATAAAATAATACACTTGTTTAAAAAATTTGTTAAATATCTATTTAATACATTTACCTTTTAATCCTTCATTTGTTTCATTTGTTATAACAATGGTTTCGGGTATTTTTATATTAGAGGATACAGTTGAAGTTAACCCATCCATTTTGATATATTTTTAACAAAAATAAAAAAAAAAGATTGTAAAATTTTTTTTACTGATCGACTATATATATATTCCATCGGGAGTTAACATTCTAAGAACTCTTTTTTATTGCGGCCAAGTCTGCGCCACAGGAATTCCGGTTTGCCGGTATACCAAATTAGGAAAGGTCTGAAACTGTGTCACAGAGACCGCTCACAGCCTCACACCATGGGAAAAATGAATTTACAATTTGTCAATTTAACAATACAACAAATTAAAATGATTTTCGAAACAGGAAAATGAACAATGATGTTACATTTTGTTTACATGATTGTTTAATTCTTTTCTGTTTAGGATGATCATCTAAATGGAAAATTCCACGAGCATAATTAATTATTTTGAATAAATATTTAAATAATTTTTAAATAATTTCCAAAAATTCACCCCATGAAAGATTTTTAGAAAGTTCTAAAAAACCAGTTTAACCGAATTCTTTTTTTTTTTTTTTTTTAAAAAAAAAAAATATATTAGTACTTACATAATTGTGTTTTTGCAAAATAATTTGATGAACCGAATTACAAGTTTACCGCCTAGTACAACTATCCTTCTATTTTTCGATATGCAAATACTACTCACGTAGTAGACTTTTTCAAATGGTCTGTCATATCACATGTTAGATTTACATCGACGACGTCAAATTTATCTAACGCAGCACGAATTTTGATTATGAAGCGAAAAAACGAAGATCGGTAAATTGAATTTATTATGAAATCTTGTATTCTTGTTTATAATTCATACAAATTTACTCATTTTTTGCATATCAAAATTCCATGAAAAAATAAATGCATTTCTTGGCTATCATTATTATTTTAATTTTCAATATCATCGTGTTTGTTTAAATTCAACTTCTTTATAATTATCATCTATTATTAATATAATATTAATTATAAGTAAAATAAAATACGGATATAATCTACTTATTAGTTATTACACCACTACAGTATTACACCGCTAACGAGTGAAGTTAATGAGCGTGCACAAGACAAATAAAATTATCCTATATTTAATTTTTTGATTTCAAATTAATAATGAATAAAGATTTAACGTTAAATTGAAATTTACTTAATAAATCTATGTCGAAGAGTCCTAACTTATCTTTAATGTAAAATTTAATAAAATTCTTTATCAATAATTTACTTACGCAGAAACCTCAATTATGTGCACCTCAGTCTAATCGCAATGGATTATTTTACAAGTAGGCTTAACGTTCTAGAATAAAAATTGCTACTTTTGTGAAATGATTTTTTTGTTTGTATAATAAGAATTATGTCACAATTTCAATCCGCTGTTTTTTGCATGCAGATAGATCTCTTTCATTTATTATTTTCGAATATAAAATGACTATACTGTAGTTTCACGGGTTTACAATATTTTCACATGTCAGTACGCAAATCCATTATTATTGTGCCCTAATAAGTGTAATAAATAATCTTTTTTTTCACAATCTACATTGTCACCGGTTACACTGCAAACGATAAAACTGTTTTTGAATGATTGAGGATGCAGGTTAGCAGATAAGAAATGTGAAGTCGGAAATTATATAATTCGTAAGATAAAAATGATCACAAGTTCTTTATTAATAAATTCCCTTATTTTCGAATATTTAGCACATCATGTTTATTATATAATGATTGAATTTATTATTATTGTGTACTGTATAAAATTTATTGAGACACATGATTTTATGGAAACTTAATGTTAAATTAATTTGATACTAAAATCTGAATATAATACTAAATCTATTATAAATCTTACAGAAAGGTATGAAAAAGTATAAAAAAAGCTTAAATTTCATCTAGTCTTTATACTTAATTCAGATACCAAATATTCAATTCAATTCCTTTTACACATAAGTAAATTTTTATTGTCTGAGAGTTTTATATAAGTCATTAAAGATCTTACCGTCCTAACAAATGCACAAATTAATTCAATATCTTTCATTACTGTTTGGTTTAAAACATGAGCGACATTAATAATATTTAAATTATCAAATTTCTATTCATCACGAGAAACATCGAAGTCTCATTATCAGTTTTCATATTTTCTGCCAAACTTGTGAAGAAATTCCGTATACGCGTTAGAGTATTACCATGTTATTACCAGTATACCAGAATGATATCAAGAAGGAAAAATTTTAACTTTCAAGAAATTCTACATAATGAATAGTAAGGCTAAAGAAAATTTGTACTACTATTTTCACGTTCAAATAGAGGAACCCATCTTATTACTGAGGTATTTTTACAAAATAATATTTATTTATATTTATATTTGCTTGGGATAGATTTCTCTCATAAATTAATTTCGATCATCAATTTTTAACAAGGTATCTTTAAAAATATTTACCGTTATAATGTTTATTAATATACAAAAAAAAATAATACGTATTTATTTCTCACCTAGGGTGAAGACTTAAATATTAACCAACCCCTAAGTTAAATTTTAATTGGTTAATTTTTTTTATTGATTAATTTTTTTTGATTTGAAAATTTTTTTCATAAAGAATATTTTTACTCCTATATAAAAACAATTTACGCGGATAAAATTTTATTTGTTAAATACAATGAAAAATTATAAATTTATACATTTATAATTATTTTAAAATTATTTTATGCTTTATAAATTACTTTATTTAAGAAAAAAAGAGCTGAAAAATTTATTTCTGGAATTCGAAATCAAAATTTTTACAGGACTAGTAATAATGACGCAAAAAAAAAAATAGTGATAAAAACAAAAATAAGGTGTAAATGTGCCAATAAAAAAGAAAACAACAGCAAAAAAAGATGATAGGGACAAAAAGAAGTGAAAAAAGGATGATAGATAGAAAAAAAGTGAAAAAAGAATGATATAAACAAAAGAAAGTGAAAAAAAAAAAGATAAAAAGAATAAATAAAAGCAATGAAAAGGAAGTAAAAAGGATGATGATGGGTAAAGAGGAATAATGGAGGAAGAAAAAGAAAATAAAAGGATTGTAAAATAATGAAAAAGAATAAAAAATAATGTTAAAAAGTGAAAAATAATTAAGGGCGAAAAATAATGAACTACCATCACCATAAAAAAGGAAAGGAAAAGCTGAGTGGTTAGTATCATTTCAAAGCAAAAAAGTAATAGAAAACAATAAAGTAATAAGAAAAGAAAGACTTACCCAAAAATTTCTTTAGGAATAACCCTGCGACGGGGCGTAAACTTTGTTAGATTTGTGTGAATATACACAAGCTTGTGTTAGTTTTTGTAAATTTCCTATAAAAATTTACGATTACACTCTATCGCAGGGCTACGAATTCTTGCTCAAATAAAAGAAGCCGCCTCGTTATCTAAAGAAGACAAAAAATTATCTAACAACATGAGTAATACACCCGAGTGAGAAAAAAAATTAATTATCTTTTTTAAATCTACTCAAGATGCTCATACGCTTTGGACTCAGAATTCTTAACGATGTTCTCACTTCTCAGGAGTCAGAATTATTTACGATGTTCTCTCAGGACTATTATCGACACTTTCAGAATTATTAATGACTCTTTTTTGCTTTATAAATTTCTAATAAATCTGAGTCTTCATCATCATAATAATAGATATACTTTTTAACTACTCCTTTTTTTTTATATCTTTCGATTAAATCAATTAATTCATCATATCCGCTTTCATCATAGTGATGATATCTTTCTTTTTTAAATTTTAATGAAATAGGATGTCTACCTTCCCAATTATCAAAAAATAATCTTAAAGATTCCAATTTAGGATTGTCATTAGTATATTTGAAAGCGAATTCAAACAAACTAGGTGGTGATGATTTAGCTAAAATGTTGAATAAATTATCCCAAGAATATCTTTTATGATCAACATTGTAATAAAAATAAATACAAAAATCCAATCTTTTTAAATGTTGACAATTAATTAATAATTTTTCAAAATCTATATTATTCTTATTCTTATATAAAAATTCAAGATACATAAGGTCTGGACAATTTTGATAAATAGCCTGAATAAATTTTTTATCATCATTCACAGTTACCGCATCATGATTGTGATGATAATAAATTTTAATGAGATTTCTGCCAGAACTTTCAATTAAATTTATCAAATAATTAATTGGTATGTCACAAGCAATTAAAGTATGTAAGGAAGGTAAAGTTAAATCTTTTATATTATCCCATTCCAATTTAACAAATGGACTAGCATTTATCAATTTCAGAATTTTCAAATTTACGAAAGATGTAAGAACTTTCGTTTTAGGTTGTTCCCATGTACTAAAATATTGTATAGTATCCGCATGTTTGATCAATGAATTTTCGATAATTTTACGTGACGACCTTCCATTATTTAGAAAACTAATACTAAATAATTCTTTTTGATTTTCAATTAACTTAGCAATTTGATAATTATAATCATTCTCATAAGAATAAATTTTCAATTCTTTAATAGATTTGCATGTTTTCGCCAATATTGATAAAGTATTATCATTTACTTTACCATTACATTTAAGGAATTCAATTTCTGAAAAACACTGTTCAACTTCAGGAATGAGATGATAATCATGATTGTTGGGCATATAAAGATGTGTATAATCTGCATTTTTATTAATAAAAAGTTTGAGTACATCATTTCTAAATTCTTCATATTGAATATATATATTCATCATATTTTCGATTACTTCTAAATTTAAATGTCTACAAAAACTTATATAATTAAACAAAGGTCTCTTATATGAATTTTTAAAAAAACTAAAATGTTGATCAAAATTATTTCTTGCTTCATCTGATAAATGTGAAATAATTACGTTTAATAATATTTCCTTCTTCCAAAGAGTTGAACGTTCCCAAGGATTTCTCCACAAAATTGGAATAACTATTTCGCACCAAATTTTATTAACTCTAAGACATGAAGCAAGAGATTTTTTGTCATGATGTAATTCTTCAAATATCGGATAAAGAATATCTCTATATAATATTGACATTTTTAATTTTAAAATTTTTTTTTTTTTTTTTTTTTTTTTTGTCTGTTATATTGTGGCTTGTTGTACAAAGCGTTGATCTTTTTTTACATACGCCAGACCTAATTATAGATATATTTAGTCACACAATGATGCAACATTATCGTAATGTATGGTGATCCACATATAGATTAGTTTATATATGAATCTTTCTTTTTGTCTATGATTAAACTCATTGAACATAGTAGGTATTTTAGAATGTTCATACAATTCACAAATATCATTAAAGGATTTCTGAAAAGCGAAAATTTCTTATATCATATCTGATCGGTTCCTATTTAAGAATTTATTAATTAAGTTAATTAACTCTCATCACATATCAAATATATGCACTAATTCTTTAAAATTATATAATGTAATTTCATAAACATTTAAATTTAATATGTTCGTAATCTACATATTTAAATATTAGTTATCACCAATCACTAATAATAATCTGAATAAATGAAAATAATAAAATTAAAATAAAATATAAAAAAAAAAGCTTAAGATGGAGCTATGGGCCTTGGATCTTCAAAAAAATTTTCTTCGGAAAAATTTTATAAATATATAAATATATTAATTATATGCCAAATTATGACTATTCTATAATACTAAAAAAAGTTTGAATGTGATATGTGATGTGATGTAACATACGAGTTTAATTATGTAATATTAACTAGGGCAATTTGGGCTAGGGATTGGAATCGATTAATCGAAAATCGACAAAACATAGTAAAATCGATTCTCGAGAATCGATTCTTTACATATATGTTAACCTGACTTTAAAGTAATTTTTCATGCCGGCCAAGTGCTGATTATTTTTGCTGAAATTAGAAACTGATTCAATGTCAGGTTAGTCGTCTATAAGAAAAATCTTGAAAAGATTCGATTTTCGATTCCAATCCCTAATTTGGGCACGCACAGATGAGCCTTAAAATAAGTGTTAAACAAAACACATATCATTGGGATAGATTGTTAATAATGTAAAAAATAAACATGCATATTTGAGTAAATAACAAAAGAAATTGTAATGTAAAATATTGGTTTTATTTGCAATCTGACTTTATGATAGAGCTAGTAATTTTATTTGATATAATTAAGAAGCAAGATTTTTTTAATTATTCAGTATATTTTTAATTTGGCTATATCTGATATTTATATAAATTTCTCCTAAAATTAAAATACTAGAAATATAGTTAAATTGATATTATTTGAACTTAAAATTTTAGATGACAAAATTAATTTGACTTAGTAAACCTATAGTACCCAATATTTAACTTGAATTTTACTGATTTATATTGTCCTATACATGATCAATTAGTGTTTATTTTGATTGATTAACCAATATTTAAACTATCTTTTACTACTATTTTTTTAAAAAAATTAAAAAATTAAACTATTGAATTATATATAAGATGTGACATTAGGGTGTACCATCAAATAATTAAATCAAAGCATATGTAAAGTACCATATAAAAAATTACCATCACTGATCAGAGATTTTTTTGACGATCACTATAATTCATAAACTTTATAAGAAACTTCATATTAAAATAGACAAAATTTCACACTTCCATAACTCTAACTCATTCCCACTATTTATGTTTCAAATTCTGCAAGAATATCCAAAATAGCTGTCTTTTCCGTGTAATACCTTTATTTTTTTCAAAGAAGGCCATCCGCGTTAGAACCAGCCCTTTTAGTTAATCCTTAATAATAAAACTTTTTTTCTTTACTTGTTTTTTAAAAAATCGAGGTATTGCGTTATTCTTTAAGTTATCATGTATTTTTTTAGTCTTTTAGTATTGCATAAAAACTAATAATACATGAGAATCTATTGAGTTTCTGAGATTTCTGATTTTTTCACGGGAAAATGCCTTCCAAATACGAATCAACAATCAAAACTAAGAAAACAACCATTGTACGGGTTATTTGAAAAATAATACAAGTATAATTTCACAAGATGCCAGACAATTTGATGCAGAGCGAGTTAGAGCAGCAGACCCATTAAAAAATAATTTCGTTGTATTTTATTTATAAAGTATAAACTACGTATTTGTATTTAATAATAATAATAACAATGCCATTTTAAAATATCTGACAAAAATTCCGTTTGACCCATTAACCGGCAGAATTGTCAAAAAAATCTCTGATAAATTTTTTATATGATACTTCACATATGTTTTGATTTAATTATTTGATGGTACACCCTAATGTGACATGTAAAATATAATGGGTTAACTTCAAATTACCTTTTTTAAATAAGTAATTTGAAGTTTAAAATCTCTAAATTTATAAAAGAGAAAATATTTTTTAGTTTCAATTCATTTAAGTATATTTTTCTTTACTTGACAGAATGACAGATTCTAACATTCTGGTATTGAGAAAAAAAAAATGCAATTATTTTTTCTATTTGCAAGTTCTAATACTGTATATAAAATATATTAAAAAAAAAAACTTATTCTTTTTTCTGCTTGCAAACGCCAGTATTGGAAAAAAATATTTTTTTCTTCATTTGCAATTACTGGTATTGAGAAAAAAAATAATTTTTTTCTTTTGCAAGTTCCGGTATAGAAAATCCTTATTTGTTAGGTAATGATATGAAAAAAAAAAAAATAAAATTTTTGATTTTTTATGGAAAAATAATATTTATGATGTAACGCTAGACCAAAAGTGCCAAAATTATGAAAATAATTTTTTTTTTTTTGTTAGTAATGCGCATTTCTCCTTATTTTATTGTAATAAATGGATTGGACATACATCAATAAAATAGGAAAAAATACAGTAAACACAACACAACGGTTATTCTATCTACTAACTCATCTAAAATGAAGCAGGGAACTAGTACTCCTAAAGAGTAAAGACTATTATACTAATTACATGATATAATTTATATATTATAAGATCTAATCTAACGTTAGAAAAACTAAAATTAGTTAAAATCCATTGAAACGTATATGATTCTAGACAATAGATATCCTATTTGACTATGTATCTTTACACCTTATCCTTAAGAATGAAACTAACTCTACTTCCCTTACTTGACTCTAATAAATGAAACATAAATCTGTAATAAATTAAAACAATAATACATTCCTACTTCAGGCATGCTCGTAACCTCTCAACTAATGTGAATTAATCTTCCAGTACTCCATGCTTTACGCTACCTTTCCAAATGAACAGTGCTATCAAAGTTCATTTGCATCCCAAGAGACCAATAATGGATTATGTGAATGTTGGCTTTATATGTTTAAGTTATTTGTGATTAATATTCTTTTGGTGCAGTTTGTTCCTACGGTACAGTAACTGAAATCCTATATTTTCTTCCTAAACATTTTATAACGTGAAATCATGTGACTTGAGAAAAGGGTTTAGGCCAATTACCAATCCGGTTTTCTGTACGACTTCACATAATTTGTACGATTACTGACCGAAACTATGGACATCTCTTACCTCCCCTATAAAGATTTTGACGTACTGGTATTAAGAAAAAAAAATTCTTTTTTTTTTCTTTTAGTTACCAAAATGCCATTTGGGCATTTTTTTTCTTATTTATTTATGAAAAAAAGCTATTTGGTATTTTTTTTTTTTTAATTGATTAAAAAATGTTTTTTACGTTTCATTTCTTGTTTTTATTTCTAGGGATGCAACTTGGACAAGCAATTGGATAAATGAAGACTTATTCAGGTCTTAGGTTTTATTAATTCATCTATTCAATTTATTAATTTTGTAAAAGAAATGTATTATCTTCTAATTAGGATAATTGGGTGTTAGGATAGAAAAAAATTTTTTAATTGTCGTCATTATCTTATATCGTCATTATCTTATAGAAAAATAAAAATTAATCTATTGTGTAATCGAGTATTTGTTGCCAAAGTTATTTATCATGGTTATCATCGTCCAAGAAAAATAAGAGTACCTTGGTCGTACTTTCGTGAGTTGATCGTTGCTTTTACCAACTAATTCCGTGTTCTAATACTTACGTATATCTAAATGCATTTATTCATCGACTTATCTGTAAAACAGCAGTCACAATGATATTCATTTTCTGGTATCAACGTTTATATGTGTTTTCTCAGTTGTATTGTTNTTAATTTTTAAGAGATAATTTATCAAAAAAATATTTATTAAATAATATGTAACCTAAAAATGAAATGTATACTACAGTATAAGTACTATTATAAAATAAAATTTTGTCAAAAATTTTTTTCTCAATAACTAAAACTATAATACTCTATAATTTCTATATAACCAATCTAAAGGTTTCGCCATTTTTTTTTAATATATAAATAAATTGTCTTGCGATATTTTGCCCTATTTTTTTTTGTTTGTCATTGACTATTTGTTAACGTACTAACGTACTACTTCTCGTTCTTCTCGTTAAAAATAAATGTGAACATATATACATTTATTTATTTTATTTTTTCTTCTTATTTTTTTTAAATTTTGATAAATATTAAACGACTAACAAAAGTAAAATTATCTTAATTTAAATGATCATAAATGTTAACTTAAAAAAAAAATAGTAGTTCGGCTTGCGCGGTATTTCCAGGATTTAAAATGACATCGAAACGACATCATAGTAACGATATCAAACTGACCAAAAAAAGAAAAAATAAAACGATATATAAACGAATGTCGTATGTCAACTATAAATCCTAAGAGAATTTAAGAGGGTTAGAATTCACAATTTTGTTTTATTTATTTTATAAGAATAATATTTTACCTGGAAAGAATTACGATAAGGGAGGGAAAAATATTTTCATATATAATGGTTTACGATACTATAACATGCGAAAACCACTTTTAGTTATTAAACTTAATTATTTATAATATTTTACTTGAAAAGGATTACGTTAAGAGGGGAGTGAAGGTTATAAATTATTATAATGGTTTACAAAATACCGTACCAAGCGAAACTACTTTTAATCATATTATTTGAAACGAAGGAAAATTTGAAAACCGTTAATTTTTTGTCGAAA